AAAATCTTTGGTTTAAAAACCTTATTGTAAGACAGTGGGATTTTGGCACTGGACTGCAGAGAGCCAATTTTATGGAGCAAACAGCCACCCACAATCCAACCCCCAATCAGGAGGACCAGGAGACTGAATTTGTCTGGCCTCTAACCATTATCCAATCTGGTATGAGTGGCTCTAAAGATGCAAAAAGCACTTAGCTCAATGGATCACTGTGGCACACAAACCATCGCACCACGTTAAGGTCCAGTCTCATCGCGACAGTTTCTAGTAGTAGTATATTTGCAACTGCAGTCGATGAGTGGTCTAGCCTTCGCATCGCTATATCTTGAATACACAACAATTTCCAAGGAATAGGAGTAGTATACTCCTAGACCACCTACAGTTTTGCAGTTGACCAGTGGTGGTGCTTTGTTCAGTGCATGATTGTTCGATCACACCGATACGAGATAGGGTTGCATATTACCGGTGGAAACTTCATTTTCTAAAGGCCGCAATGACGGACTAAAACCGCAAGATCTCATTGAAGATGAGAGGGCTGAGAGCTTATGCCGTTAGTATCATAAAGAAGACAACTTTGATATCATCTGCAAAGGAAAATGGCCTCAATTTTGCGAATCAATCGAATACTTCGTAAACATACCAAAGGAACAGTAACGGACTTAGAACACTCCTACAGGAATGCAACAACAGTACAGTCGCGAACGGTAGTTACGGTTCATTTAGTATGGTGTTACACATTTGGTCTTCTCCGACCAATCTCACATTCGAAACCACTTGAAAGCTTATTCGGCTTATTGTTATGGCCCATATAAGTTCAGAATGATCCATAATATTATGGAAAAGTAACCGTTGGAGCGATTAATGACACGAGGTTCATTGCAAGAACACGGTATCTTTACTACAATACTTCGTTCTCTAAGCTCTGCAAAGGTTTCAACCTCTTTTAAGGTCTTAGTTCTTCATTTTTTCTCGTGTATAATCCATTCGCTGTGATCTTAAGGGCGCGCATTAACGAAGCCAGGTTACCGACTTGGAACTGCTTCCAAAAGACTAACTTCTGGCCAAAACGAATGATTGCGTAATCGCTCCAATCTGTTGGTCAAGGTAGGCTGGTTAGAGTACTCCGAACACACCATGGATAAGTACTCATTAGTGTAGCACAGTCTTAATATGTGTATCGATGCGGAAAAACTTGGAATAATAACACCCATTCATAAAGGTGGAAGCAGAACTAAGGATTCAAACTACCGCCCAGTTCCCCTTCTCCCTATACTGTCTAAGGTCATGAAATCCATTATAGCCGATGCCCTGGTGGGCTATTTAGAAAACTAACATTATTATTCCTGAACAGCACGGCTTCCGTCGAAATCGATCGTGCACCTCGAATTAGTTAATAGCACGGAGTAGCTGGACCCAGTCAGCTGACCCTGAAAAGGCTGCAGATGTGACCTACCTGGATTTCTCGTAAGTATTCGTCCGCCTAGATAGTCGGATAGTCCTTTCCAAGTTACAGCGTTACGGGATCGGTGACCCTCTTCTAAGCTGGTTCGCCATCTCCTTCAGTCGCAATTGGTGGTCAGAGTTCGGTGCTCCTTCTCTGACCTCATACAAGTTGGATGTGGGGTGCATCAAGGCTCGGTGCTATGTCCCCTATTGTTTTCCGTATTCATCAACGATCTCACTCAAACAATTACATCCAACTTCTTGTTGTTTGCGATGACATCAAAATTTGGGACAAGTTTCAGGGGAATACTGACCAGCAACTGTTTCAGAGTGATCTAGACTCGGCACATCAGTGATCCATCCGAAATTCACGGCAATTCAACGTGAGTAAATGCAAAGTGCTCTCCATACGACAAAAGAGCAACCAGTGGTACAGGCTCGGAATGCATGTGCTACATCGAGCTGCCACCGAACGTGTTTTGGGCGTACTGGATCAGCATGAGCTGGGTTGTTCCAGGCAATCCGCGAACGCCTCCAAAACTGGTAACCAACGTCTGAGCCTGTTACGAGGGGCGTTCGGACGAATAGATCACTCTATTTTCAGCTAGATGTTTGGTGCGATGTTCGTCCTCATGTCGAATATGCAATTCAAACCTGGCACCCATGGCTAACACACGACCGTAGTGCACTTGGAGCATTGGAGTGGAGCATTAAATTACGTTATTGGAATGCACCATCTTCCATACGAGGAGAGGCTGGAACGATTGGCGTATTCAGCGGACGTTACCACCTAGTAACTTGATAATGATATACTTACGACTGCACGATCCACATTGTGTGTGCCGCTCTGTACTGCAACTCAGCAGTACTACCAACTTGAGAGGTCACTCATTAAAACTGGCAGTACAGTACAGCCGCAGGAATTTCTTCTACATCCGCGTGTGTCACCCGTGGAATGTTCTTCCAGAATCGGTCACTTTTGCACTATCACTATCTATAGTTAAAAAAGGTTTGGATGACTCATTTACTCACCTACACTTTGTTGCCTAGTACTACATCTTGCTAATACAGACTGGGGGATCAAATATTGCAGCGCACTACAACTGAATGCGATCTAGGAATGGTAGTGCAGGAAGATCTGGGCTGTTCTCGTCAGGCCGAGAAAGCCTCCAAAAAAGCTAACCAAAACCTTGGCCTTTTGCGGAGGGCATTCGGGCGCTTCGATCCTTCCATCTTTTCGCAGATGATCAACGCCTTCATTCGGCCTCATTCTGAGTACGCCATCCACGCCTGGCAGCCTTGGCAAAGTCAAGACCTTACCGCTCTGGAACTGCCACAACGAAGGGCGACCAAGAACGTAAAGAGCCTGTTTCATCTCCCTTACCGATTGAGGCTGAAAACCCTCGGGGGTCTACAGTGGACAATATCGACGCCTGCATGACGACTTGATAATGACTTATATAATCTTGAGGAATCCGAACCATTCTTGTCGTCACCTACTAAAGATGAGTCGCAATACAACACTCAGAGGACACCAGCTAAAGCTGGCCACACAACACAGCCGGTTGGAATGCCGCCGGAATTTCTTTTCCCTTCGTGTATGCGAACACTGGAACGCTCTTCCCACATACGTTGTTTCTTCCTCTACGCTAACGGTATACAAAGGACGTTTGGAAGATTCGCTTATCCACCTACATTACGCTATATAATCAGTGATGTCTACGTCAAACAAACGCGATAAAAATGGTGTCATTCTCAGCTTTTGTGCTTCACTATTTACACACTGCTGTGGTGGAATATAATTGCGGATATATTACAACTGCATTCATCAATTTACCTCAGTCCAAGAAAGCGGCGCACGAGTAAGCGTTATCGTTTCTCTTGTTCTTAAGACATGCCTTCCCCATTTCACTTTCTATATTACTCTACAGTAGCAATTCAGTACACATTCTGAAATGTTTATATGAATAAGGGGCACCTGAATCACTAGACGCTTAAATTGACGATTTACACTTATGTTTAACTTCAACCATCCTACGGGACTTGTAAAGCAATCGCTTTTTTACCTGTAACATATCATTGTTCATTGTTCATTGTTCATCTCCATCCCACTCCTGGAATATGGATTTATTTGCTGTCACGTGTTTGTGCTGTGAAACTACGTGGATCGCCGGATTACTGCGTAACAAAGGATAAGTCCCCCTTTTAAACGTAAATAACCCACTGTTTTTTTATTTTTGATAACCCTGCAAAACCACCCAACGGGACATGTAAAGCATTGCTTCCTCACCCGTATAAATTCATAATGCATTGTTCACAGCGAAAAACAGTAATGAAGATAATCGGGATACCAAGTTAATGGCGACGGAGCCGAACCAAAAGCACAGAAAACATAAGAGGAAAGTTAATCCGCAGAGCGCTTTCGCACGATAGCATAACTGGACTGAATAATAAGCTTTCAGTTAAAATATTCCACTTCTAATCACCATGGTGCCCTTAACTGAGTCACATCAGACCGCTGTCTTGGCCACTAAACCAACTAGGAAGGTGACAAGTAGCCGCGCACAGATATCCGGTTAATGCATTTCTCATGCTTTATACCTCATTTTTTGGTCAGCTTTAATCATGGACAAGTAGAACACAATGCTGTAGATGGCCGACTGCTTTTGGGAGGTTTGAATTAAACTATGCGCATGTGCTACACGGTTCAACGTCTCACAAGGCAATGTGGTGAGAGATGCTCATTGGCAAATGTTTTGCGGTGCAACAAGTGGAACTCAGTGCTTGTCTGCTGAACAAGGTTTAAGTACAAGTTGAATCTGAGTCCATGAAACTAGATCAACTGCGTATTACTCTTTGCCCGTTTGCTTCATAATGGAACCACCACCACAAAGTTAGACAGTAAAACAACACTGGAGCGGCCTTGGAGTAATTAACTCCTCCTATGGGGCCAGAGAAGTGTTTTCAACGTACTTCAAACTTATGGAGCTATAGTGAAGCGAGTAGCCGCAAGATGCATAATCCCTAAGGCAAGTATTGATCGATTCATGTGTTTCCCTGGTCTCTCACGAGGCATGTGGATACGAGTGCTCTGAATACACACTCTTGTCCCGCCTGCCAGATAATAACGCTACTCATTTCTTAAAGACATTTCCGGACTAACACGTCTAAAAAGGTCTTACGAATTCACTTACTTGAATTAGCACAACCCATTTGGGAAATAGATAGCAAAAGTAGAACACAGTTTCGCTGCAACACGGCTACCACCAGTATCGTGGCTGTTGGGGATATCCCCAGATCGCAAATTTTGTATTAGACGCCAGACGCTTTATCTACTCGGCTAACGACGTAGTTCTAACTGCTGTAATGATTTCGTCTGATACCGTTATTTGTTTACGTAAGTTATCGTGCCTGTTGGTCGGCGAGTATCTCGTTAACTTACTGGCCAACACTGACAAGTCTGCTTTTAATTGGTTGAACATTATGCAAAATGACTACCCATTGACAGCCCCATGGTTCGCTATAATCGGCTTAAATGTATCGATTTCTGATTTTATCAGGCTTATTCCAATTTACTGGAGAACGGAAGGTTGACACCAGAATGCACCGATGTTCGTCCTTACGTCGTCGATGGTCGCGTTTACCTAGCTCGCCTGGATCACGACAATGAGTATCGCCTCTATCGTTTCTCCGTTCCGTGGTGGAAGAGCTTCGTGCCAAAAGATCGATCAGTCGCTCTTTTTTGAGTTATTGTCTAGTGGATAATCCAGCATGCCAAACGAGATCGCTATTTTATTTTTGCTTCTTCACACTTAATCACATTTAACATGGTACATTTTAATTATTGTAGCCTCCTTTCCCCCTTTATGCTTATCCACCGTCTACAGTCTTGACGCTGTGAGTTGGAAAAGTGTCACAGATCGCACTTTACGGCGCATTGATGAAAAACAACAGTTTTACTAGTTGCTACACATGAGTAAAAGATTGATCTGCTTACGCTTTATTATGATACGACTACATCAGACATTACTTTTTCACAAACAGTGCTCAGAGAGCCTTTTCTTCTATTCATTATGTGAGTTATCAAGGTAAAGGTGGAGTTTATGGTCGAGTTCTGAATGTGTAACTCGACAGCGCGGGCAATCTATAACGGTGAGCTGAGAAGTGACTGACAACTGCTGGTAAAACAGATATGGAAACACAGTTAATACGCTAAGCAGGCAGAAGCTAAACCAGTGTCCCTTACACGATGGCACTAGGACATGCTCCTCTGTCGTTATGATGATTATTAAGTGATCGCTGATTTTGTCCTGCAGAAACAGTAAGGCTTGTCTCGCGTGTTGAGAGTCTGGGCTCACTGGTCTACACACATACGCAAACCAGGGGTACAACATATTTCCAAGCACTTGTAGAGCTTTTGATCTAGAACAGATGTCCTCAGCCGCTTGCACACAACAAGTTATATGATCAATGTTTCAATAGTTCAATGGTGTATGATGGGATAAAAGCATTACTTTACAAGACCCACGGGATGGATATGCAGAAGAAAATTAAAATCAAAATGTGCCAACGTGGAACATGAAGTATCAGTGGTCAAACCATTGCACTTTATCAGACTATTGTGTATTGTTTATCACTAAGATGAAAATCTAAGAGTCTTTCGAATGTCGTCATGTCTAGTGCGTTCACCACATAGTTTGTTAATGCATTCCAGCGAGAATAGATTCTAAGGGAGAAAAAATACTTTCTACAATTCAAACGAGAGTGTTGCGTCATTAGTTTCAGGTGGTTGCCTCGGTTTTGTTTGTAAGGGGCTAGAGTCAACAGTGATGTATATGGATGCTCGCTTTCCGTTAGTATCCGGCCTATAGGAGTAAGCTCCTCGAAACCGTCGGTATTCTAGTGAGAACACACCGAGTACACGAAGACGCAGTTTGTAACTTATACCGGATAGTCCACACGTTGCCTTTGTGGCTCTTCTTTGGGGCTGTTCCAATAGGCGGATGTCTCCTTTTAACCATGGATACCAGGCTTTAATTGAACATTCAACATGAGGGCGAATATAGGAGTTAATCAACAATGGTACTAGCCGTCGCTCAAAAGTGCCGAGAGCTCGCCTCAAAAGCCGCAAGTTTAAGTTCGTCACCCTTGTTGCTTTAGAACATTGGAGCGAATTTCCAAGACTCTCTTGCACGATTATACCTAAGTCGCGTTCACTAGTCACGTGTTGCAAGACGTGTTGCCTCAAAAGGTATGTGTTGACGAAGCTGCTGCGCACCGTCAGTAGGTGGAACTTTGCAGGGTTCAGTGGGAGCTGGTTCTTTTCTGCCCATTCGTTAATCCGGGTTAGATCTTCTTGAAGGTAGACACGTTCGGATGCTGAGCAAACTGCTCTCCATATTTTAGCATTGTCTGCAAATATTTGCATTGGAGATAGAATGTCTGCTGGAAGGTCAGTAATGTAGGCTAAAAACAGTAGCTGGTCGAGGACGGATCCTTGTGGTACACCACTGGAGACGCACAGGCTTGCAGAGTGAGTGTCCACCATTCTAACCTTGATTGCTCTGTCGTGTAAGTAGTCTAACCAGGTGGGCAGGGAACCGTTGATGCCGTAGGCAGCAAGCAGGAAAAAGAAATGATTGATCCTGTCGAATGCTTTAGAAAAATCCAGGTATATCACATCTATGGAGACTCCTTCATCAGCCGCCCTGGTCCATAAGTCCCGAGTAATCAGCAAATTGGTGAGACAAGATCGTCTACGTCGGAAACCATGTTGGGCATTAGAAATTATCTGTTGACTTTCAAAGTATCGCGTCAGTCCATCTGCGATTACCAATTCCATCACTTTTGATGAAACAGGAAGGAGTTTAATAGGTCGGTAGTTAGCAGGATCCGAGCGCTTACCTCCTATATATATTGGAGTGATAATTCCATTGTTCCACTCAGATGGGAGTGTATGGGAGTTAAGCAGACCTTGAAAAAGGTTGCAAGTAGTGCTGCTATGGTGGGATCAAGGGTTTTTAGTACTTTTGGGAAGCGTTGTAATTGCAGTGCACTGACAATGCATAGGTGTTGAGTGAAGCAGCCACCCAGCAGCTTGTGACCGCTTTTGTGTGGTATATGCCTTCCGGTGGCGAAGAACTCAAGTCAAGACAAGAATCAGCCACACGCAATTTGGACGCACACTTTCAGTTTCGTAAAAGATAAAGCTCAATGCAAGTGAATACAAAAGGTGGTTTTATAGATGACAGAGATGGTTATATCACCACAATATGAATTTGGCTGTCGAACGCTAAACTACAGTTCTGATCCCTTAGTAAATGTACTGAGTGTGGAATGACCGAAGAGCTATCAAACGGAAAAAAGCTAAGGCTTGACAAAGCCCGCAGGGTGACCTACGTGAATTGCACAAGTCAAAAAACAATTGCCAGTAATATAAACGCGCATATTTGAACACCATAATATTCTACTTAACACGGTTAAATCCATGTACCTCGAGTTCGTAGAGACTGGTGGGTCACTTCGACACTCGAGAGGGGGAATTCAATTCGCATAACACAGTTAGTGCAATGCATCGTACAGTCATTATATAAAGATGCGTAACGTGAGCCCAGATATAAAAATGTCGGAAGGGCATTTCGCAGCTGATAACTTCTGATACGGAAATATCCGGTGGCATCCCAGCTAACTGCATTAAGTGGCCAGTTCTAGCTGGTGACCCATGAATTTTTTTATCGCGGCCAAGTTTCAGTTGCCAGCGGCAAACATGATTAGGCTTTTTCAGAGTCAGCTACTTCAGAATGAGCTCACCCTGTAGACGATGGAAACAGCCAATTTGCACTCTGAGGCATGGCATGGCAGGTGAAACAAGCCACACAAATGGTTGATTGCTCTTTGTTGTGGTGTCCTGAATACAGCTATTAGTGCCGCTTAGATCGAGACTAGTTGCGAAATGATGCTAGCCATGTATATAAACGATACTATTACCCAGATAACTATGGTCCGTGATAACCAGGTACGTATCGCTTGTTGGATTATGAGGGATGTGATTCCCTATCAGATCTGGTGCGGCTGCGTACACCGGCGGCGAGCAGCCTGAGACGGTAGATGAAGACAAGCCTACCTGTTATCCAGTGTTGCAGTTGTGTGTGGTTCAGCTTGGCGCTGCCTAAGTTATGTCCGTTTATTTATTGCACCTGAAATAAAGTACCGAAAAGATTTTATGACGTGGTTGAACTAAGTTGTTTCTGTAGTGGGTTTACCTAGAATACGCCGCCTAGATCCGGAGTCCAGAGGGTTTTTTCTGCGAAGCACACACCAGTATTATGATACGCTCTCTGACCTCTGTCTGAATTAAAGCACCACCTACACAATCCGCGCTCCATATCCTTTGTAACTTGACGATCTATGCAACGTCCAGATCGATTGCGCTACGACTTTTTCCAACGAGAAGGTCACGCGGATGTAATGCCGCTGTTCCTGATCGTATGTGGCCGTTTTGCGCTAATCATATTACCCAGCCACGAAAACACCGTGAACAAGGATGGTCCTGGCTAAGTATTCTTTCCGGTAGTCTTCCAATCAGTGATTCGCCCGTTAACGTTGCTCCACATAATATCCGGGAAGATGCGGACGGAACAAAACTCATGCCGATGACCAGCTGTCCATATCAGAACTGTTCGGAAACCGTTGAGCGAATTTGTCCAAATGTTTGGTTTCGAATCTAATTGGGAAACGCAGCTAGCTCTCAGCGTTATATGTCTGGAAGAAAACCTCATTCCCCAGAACTTTGTAGCCAAGCCACCAGGTAATTAGGATATTAGGACGGAACAGCTTTCAGCGCAAACAAATTACTATTTAAACAATGAATTTATTTGACAACTAGCTTCTCGGATGCAGTCTGACTCCATGGATAGGTAAGGCTCTCGGAGATGCAGACCGTCATACCGCAGGCTGACTAGGTTCAGGTTTATAAAAAGGATTTGGAATTTAAGCCAATATGATGGAGGACACCCAGAGAAAGGAAAATGTGTAACTTCAATCAGTTGTCTGCACATACTAAGACTACAGACTGACATGCCTAAATCTATCAGCAAATACTGTAAAACATTTAATACTTCAGATAGGGTGTGAAGCGAAAAAACAAGCGGAGTAATGAAGAAAAGTTTGGCATTACTATTGTGTTGGAGAGATCAATTTGTTCATTCGAGTTGAAACTCGCACTTCCATTGTTTCTCCACAACACCTTATCATGGACAGCCCAGTTCTCTTTGCATATGCCAGAACCACGACGGCCTGTCTTACCCACCTCTTGAAACGTTCGACTTTGATCATCTAGCCCACCCTCTATGGTTACTCACACCCGCCTCACTCCTTTTGGTTTTATACCCTTTATCGTTTGATGTGCTAATTGCCGATAATCCATCGCAGACGCGGCAGGCAGCCTCACCATAGACTACACATGACAGACACTCCGCCAATCAGCTGTTCCGAACTTGTTTATCTGTTCAAATCCAATCGATCCTCCCAGTTATGCTACTGGTGTATTTTTCCCTATCAATCATTGCCGCCTCAGGCGAGTTTGACTGCTAGGCATATCTCTATACGTTTAGACAGTCAATTGGTGTATGGCTAGCTTCGAAGCGGTACTACTTGCTTACAGTTGCACCCACTTGTTTGCATTTTGTGCTAGACTATGCTCGGCTTTTGGTTTGTCTTCTGCGGTACCCACCGAAGCTTTTATTGCGTTTGTGTGCGAGGAAACCGTTTGAGGTTTGTCACTTTTGGCAGTTATTGTTATCATGCATTAGCACCACAGTTACACCGGCGTTGGATTTTTGACTTATCCCGGGGATTGCGGATCCTTCCCGGTCTTGAATTTGCACAACTGGTGGCTGCGTGTATCGCTCAAGGTTTTTAAGCATTTTATCGCTTACAAATTTAATAAAATCTAATACATAAGCAGAGGGATTTATTTCTAGGGTTGAGTTTGCAGTACCTAGATTACTCTCCTCGATGGCTAAAATTATTAGTGCAGAGGTGATAGATGGTAGATGGTATACCGAACTTCAGTCGCTGGGGAACAGCG